TGTAACAACATCACAGTAACATGCCTAGTAATAGATGAATAAATCTTACTTTCTAGAGAAAAACTGGTTAGCTTCATACAGGCACAGTGAGTAATTCAGGAGAGTGGATACTACACAACGTGTCTCATATGTGAGAGTTCATGGCTAACTAAGAACAATTGAAAGGGCTGCAATGCCTGCTTTCTTTCTCTTATTCTCAAGTGTTTAATATTTACATATGTTTTAATTAAGATATTTTTCATGTAGTAATCGAACACTTTTTTCTCCTTTCATCTGTCTGCATGCTGCATACTTGAACAGAAGTCTACCTCTGTTAGTAAGCATTTGTGAAAGGAAGAGAATGAGAACCTGGTGGTGGTAATCTCCGCTCAGTGCACTGGTGTCAGTTTTGAGAAAGACGCCTTGTCACACAGAAGACAGACAATGATTCTGCTTAGCTTCATGAGGGCATTGAGAACAAGAACTGATTTACAAGAAGGCATGCAATATGCAGAGGCAGGCTCTTGCTTATCAGGCATTTCTGCAGCCATCAGAGAAATGTAGACAAATTAATTCACTTAATAGACTAGGTTATGACAGAAGAGTAACTAGTTCTGTGGGTTCTCAAAGGTTTGTTTGAGATCAGTGATTGAAATATGACTTTAGAAAATATTCTGTCCTTGGGAATCTTTGCTTTTAAGTTATAATTTTGTGTGTATGTTTGTATTGGAGGGTTTCTTTCTTTCATTTTTTTTTTAGAGAAAGTGTGTGCTTTCAGGAAGTTTGTAGCATATGATGGTCAAAAATAGAGTGAAACATAAGTGTTCATCTTCACTTGAAAACTGCTATATAATTGAAGGGTCCAGTCTCTCGAAGTTAAGTATGGCAGGTCAGCTATAAGGCATTGTAAACTAGACTTTTCACAGTGATTTAAGTTATAGTATTAGAACTTGAGTGGACTTTGTATACTCTCACCCAAAATCTGGCTAAAATTCATGATCACCAGGTAAGGGACTTGAACAGTTATAGCATCATGTATCTCATACTTGGAGGTTTGTTAACTTGTGGACTTACCTGTTTGGTCAGGAGTGTCTCCTTGTGTGTGTGAGTGCACAGAAATGTGCATGAATGTATGTGTTCGTGTGAGTGTGTGAGGTGAACATTTGCCTGTATGTGAGCATGTGGACATGTGTGTAGATGGGCCGTCAGCTCCATATGCACATGTACCAATGTCAGCATTCCCAGCTGTTTGTCCTGCAGCTGTCTCTGTTCAGCAAAAGGTGGAAGCTGGGCCACTGTTTGTGTCTGTGCAAGCTGGGATCAGAGAATTGTGGCATTTCCACCTTGAGCTCCAGGAACTAGGAGATGGGATCTTCCAACAGATCATGACTTCCGAGGCTCCTGACTCTCTAGGGTAGTAAGAAGTGAGCAGTGGTCCAAGCCTCAGTGCTCCCAGTGTTCTTTGAGTAAATGAGAGGGTGCATTTGGGGCATATTATTTTGGGGGGGCTATCACATGTACATTACCAGATGGTCAGTACTGAAGTCAAATTGATTATATTGTTAGCAGCCAAAGATGGAGAAACTCTTTACAGTCAAAAACGACCTGGAGCTGACTGTGACTCAAATCATCAGCTCTTTTTTGCAAAATTCAGCCTTAGATTGAAGAAAGTAGGGAAAACCACTAGGCCATTCAGGTATGACCTAAAACAGATCCCTTATGATTATACAGTGTAAATGACAAATAGATTCAGAGGATTAGATCTGATAGACAGTGTGCCTAAAAAACTATGGATGGAGGTTAACATTGTATAGGAGGCAGTGACCAAAACCATCCCAAAGAAAAAGAAATGCAAGAAGGCAAAGTGAAAAAGGGAAAGATAAACCCAACTGAATGCAGAGTTCCAGAGAATAGCAAGGAAAGATAAGAAAGCCTTCTTCCGTGAACAATACAAAGAAATAGAGGAAAACAATAGAATGAGAAAAAGACTAGAGATCTCTACAAGACAATTAGAGATACCAAGGGAAAATGTCATGCAAAGATAGGCACAATAAAGGGCAGAAACTACAAGGACCTAACAGAAGTAGATGAGATTAAAAAGAGATGGAAAGAATATATAGAACTGTATTAAAAAGGTCCTAATGACCCAGATAGCAGTCATAATGTGGTCACTACTCTAGAGCCAGACATCCTGGAGTGTGAAGTCAAGTGGGCCTTAGGAAGCATTACTGCAAACAAAGCTAGTAGAGGTGATGGAATTCCAGTTGACCTATTTCAAATTCTAAAAGATGATGCTGGTAAACTGCTACACTCAACATGCCAGCAAATTTGGAAAACTCAGCAGTGGTTGCAGGACTGGAAAAGGTCAGTTTTCATTCCAATCCCAAAGAAGGGCAGTGCTAAAGAATGTTCAAACTACTGTACAATTGTGCTCATTTCACGTGCTAGCAAGGTAATGCTCAGAATCCTTCAGGCTAGGCTTTAGCAGTATGTGAACCGAGAACTTCCATACATGCAAGCTGGATTTAGAAAAAGCAGAAGAACCAGGGATTAAATTGCCAACATCCATTGCATCATAGAAAAAGCTAGAGGATTCTGGAAAAACATCTACTTCTGCTTCATTGATTATGCTAAAACCTTTGACTGTGTGGATCACAACAAAATGTGGAAAACTCTTAAAGAGGTGGGAATACCAGACCACCTTACCTGTCTCCTGGGAACCCTGAATGCAGATCAAGAAGCAACAGTTAGAACTTTACCTGGAACAATGGACTGGTTTAAAATTGGGAAAGGAGTACATTAAGGCGTTTATTGTTACCCTGCTTATTTGACTTCTAGGCAGAGTACATCATGTGAAATGCCAGGCTGGTTGAATCACAAGGTGGAATCAGGATCGTTGGGAGAAATATCAACAACCTCAGATATGCAGGTGATACCACTTTGATGGCAGAAAGTGAAGAGGAACTCAAGAACCTCTTGATGAAGGTGAAAGAAGAGAGTGAAAAAGCTGGCTTAAAACTCAGCATTCAAAAAACTAGGATCATGGCATCTGGTCCCATCACGTCATGGCAAATAGATGGGGAAAAAATGGAAACAGTGACAGATTTTATTTTCTTGGGCTCCAAAATCACTGCGGATGGTGACTGCAGCCGTGAAATTAAAAGACACTTGCTCCTCGGAAGGAAAACTATGACAAACCTAGACAGCATATTAAAAAGGAGAGACATTACTTTACCAGCAAAGATCCGTCTAGTCAAAGCTATGATTTTTCCAGTAGTCATGTATGGATGTGAGAGTTGGACCATGAAGAAGGCTGGGTGCCCAAATTTGATACTTTTTTATTGTGGTGCTGGAGAAGACTCTTGAGAGTCCCTTGGACAGCAAGGAGATCAAACCAGTAAATCCTAAAGGAAATTAACCCTGGATATTCATTGAAAGGACTCATGCTGAAGCGGAAGCTCCAATATTTTGGTCACCTGATATGAAGAGCCAACTCATTGGAAAAGACCCTCATGCTGGGAAAGATAGAGGGCAGGAGGAGAAGGGGGTGGCAGAGGATGAGATGGTTGGATGGCATCACTGACTCAATGGACATGAGTTTGAGCAAATTCCAGAAGATAGTGAAGGGCAGGGAAGCCTGTGTGCTGCAGTTCATGGGCTCGTAAAGAGTCAGACATGACTTAGCCACTGAACAGCAACAGTTATTTTTTGAATTAAATATGTGTTTATTTTTCTTGACAAATATTGATTTGTGGGTTGTTTGTTTTTCACCTGGTGTCACTTGGATTTTGAGGTAAGAAAAGCACTCTTCCTGTGCTAAATGACGTTTGTGCTGTGGTAACTCTAGACTTGGTTTTGTTCTGTTTTTAAATGAAACCTAATGAGATCGTGTGGCCATGGGCGTTTCAGTAGCGTCTATCCTGTGTTCTCTCAGGGTGTGTTTTCCGTGTCTAATGCAGTCTGAGTCCTGATGCCACCCTCGGGTCTCGTAGTATCCATGCTTTCCCTCATAGGCTGTCTTCTCAGGCACCCCACAAAACCCTAAGGAGTTTCCTCATTTTTATCACATCAGTAAGCTGTGATATTTTGAAGTGTATTTAGCACAAGGGCCACACTAGTCCCCTGTCACTGCATGCTCAGGCCATTGGCCTGCCAGCCTTGCTCATGCTGGCCTCTCCTCTCCTCAGATCTACAAGGAGACCGAATGTTGTGGATGTGGAGTTTTCTGGACCTTGGACTGAGTTGATTGCTTTATGTCATGTCTTTAAGCTGATAGGCCACCCAATCCTGCCTGATGCTGTGTTTGGGGCTACTTCGCTACATGGTTTCCATTCTATGCTTGAGTTTTTTAAGTTAGCTGGAGGATAATGAAGAGCAAATTCCAGCGTACATCAGAACCGGTTTATAAAGTCATCTTCTAAGGAAGCACAAAATCCCAAGTTACTGACTCTGCACTGCCTGTGTAATGCATGTGTAACTTGATCATGGTTTCCTTAACAATGAAAAAAACAAGACAGGAATATAGCAACTACCACATTTCACTTTTTATACTTAAAAGCGTGCTAGTGGCTTAGAACCTAATTTTGGTTTAAACTGAAGAATTCTGTTGCCTCACATACGGTAGGGGAAGTGCTGTGTCCTTTTATTCCTTTCGAACCTAGAGTACTACGGGCCTTGCAGCTTTGTCAGCAATGAGCAGAGAATGAGAACATCTGTTAGGTTACAGACAGAGACAAACCAGGCATTCAAGGAAATGAACCTAAACAGAAACACTATCAGCTAGTAATTGAAAATTCTTGAAAGTTAGAAATCTAGCCCTAGTGTATGAAATTGATCATCATAAGATTAAATATTTTTTAATATTAAACATGAATTTCTAAAGGTTTCTGGGAAGTGGGGCCGGTGATGTGCTTGCACCCTGGAGGTGTAAGTCAGATGGCAACGTGTGTTAGCTGTGCTGTGTCTTGGGGAATGTCCTGCTCACAATTGTTTATTGTTTTCTTTCCGCATTGATGAAACAGCCAGACCAAATCCGTTTGGAATGCCTGGGATAGTGCCACCGTATGTCCCCCCCCAGATGCTCAACATTCCACAGACCTCTCTGCAAGCAAAGCCTGTGGTAAGGCCTTTCCTGTCCATCCGCAGCTGGTCTGCCCAGCCTTAGTGTGGGGGACAGCTGCCTTGAAAGCTACATATGAATCAAATCTTAATGAATGCTAAGATAATTTCTTAACACTCATAATATGTAAAGCAGGTGCCAGACTTTGTTGAATTAAAATTTAGCCAAGACCGGGTTATGCTAATGTGTTCTGGGTCATGCAGTGTGTGTGCACGTGTGATTTGTATGCTCTCTTTAAGGCCCCCCAGGTGCCCAGCCCAGGTGCTCCTGGCCAGGGTCCACACCCGTACAACCTCGCTGAGCCGGCTCTCACCTTGGAAACCAGCGGAAAGAATCTGACTGAGCAGAACTACAGTAACATTCCTCATGAAGGAAAACATACCCCACTGTATGAACGGTCCTCCCCAATCAACCCAGCTCCAAGCGGCAGTCCCAATCACGTGGACTCAGCATACTTTCCTGGTTCTTCTACGTCATCATCTTCAGACAATGATGAAGGCAGTGGAGGAGCTGCAAAGTGAGTGGTGTATGGAGTAGCTGCTGCTTCCTGGAAGTGTAGCAACTGCATTAGGCTACTTAAGTAGCTTGTAGTCCCCAGGGAAGCCGCTGTCTGGCTGGCCGGCCGGCTGGCCGGCCGGCCCGCAGCACTGATGGTTGTGCTCAAAGATGCTGTTTGTTGTAGGTAGGTGACAGTTACCCTTTGCTTGACTGGGATTCCTCAGACCAAGAGAAAAGGTTAGACATTTCCTCTGGGCTTCCAAGGTTGAAAATGTGTACTATGCCAGCCCAAATTCTTGGGTTCCCCTCTCTTTTGGATGTAATTTTAGGAAAATTAGTTTGTGTGACCACCAAATGTCGTAAAGTTATCTGATCAAGTTCTACCTGACTCTCTTTGGACTGTGGTTTCCCTACTCCCACCCTCAGAAAGCATTTTAAGTTAGACTCGTATGGTTTTCGGTCTCTTGGCTCCTAGGTTAAAGGGGAATCAGAATTTCCTTCTGAATTCAGTAACTAGAATCCCAGCTCCCCAGATCATAGGACTATTCTTGACATAAGACTGTTCACCTAACCAAAACCATAGAAAGCTGCCAGACCCAGGCTGAAATTCTCCCTGTAGAGAAGAACATTTTAAGCAATGTGTGTCCGTGAATAAATGAATTTTCAAATATTAATTTGTTAGAATCTGATTGAGAAAGTCTTGAAATGCATAGTCCTCCTCCTCCCCTTACATAACCTTATGTTTCTAAGAAACCTGGTTCAAAAAAAGAAAAAAGGAAGGAAAGGAACAGTCTTTCTCTTTGCATCTGCATCTCTTCCTCTGTTTGAACTCTGATTCACAGTAGATGCCCGAGGCTAGTTATTGCTATGTCAGTTTCTGCTGAAAGAAAATCTGAGACACAATTTCGAATCTTCCTGCAAGTTCTTATGGGTGTGTCACCTGAAGCCAGAGATTTTTCCTCTTTTGTACTCTTTTTCTCCATCTGTAAAATGGGCACTAAGTCTGCTGACCTCCCCAGCAGGGAGGTCACTAAGTCACCACTTAGTTACCACTAAGTCCCCAAATGGGCAGTTACTGAGGAATTTGCTGCCATCTAGGGATGTATGCTGTTCTGGAACAGAGAAGCATAAAGTGCACAAACGTTTACTTGCTGTATGTGTAGTTCTAAAATTCTAAAAATGAAGTAAAAAGTTGTAATTTATTGTTCAGACTTTCAAATTAACCTTCTAGGAAGGTAACATATTGAAGACCTATGGAATGAGAATTGCTATGTTGGGGCTTAGAAATCCACATGTGTAAATGACACCATGTGACTCTTTAGTGCAGAAAGTTTGAGAGTAGCTGATAGATGCCATAGGAGCCCTTTCACTCTCTAAGGAACTATATTGAGTGAGTGAAGTAGCTCAGTCATGTCCGACTCTTTGCGATCCCCTGGACTATAGCCTACCAGGCTCCTCTCTCCACGGGATTCTCCAGGCAGGAATACTGGAGTGGGTTGCCATTTCCTTCTCTAGGGGATTGTCCTGAACCAGGGATCAAACCCGGGTCTCCTGCATTGCAGGCAGACGATTTAACCTCTGAGCTACCTTCTTTTAAAAATCGACTCATGTCAGCAAGACCAAAGTATCTATAGTATACAGTGGTAAAGATCTGCCTGCGTGCAGGAGATGCAGGTTTGATCCCTGGGTTGAGAAAATCCCCTGGAGAAGAAATGGCAGCCCACTCCCATATTCTTGCCTGGAGAATCCCATTGACAGAGTAGCCTGGTAGGCTACAATCCATGGGGTTGCAAAAGAGTCAGACACAACTGAATGACTAAGCAACAAGAGCAAATTCTTTCTAGACTCTGAAACACGGGTAGAAATAAAACACAGAGTCACTCTTTGTGGCTCAGAGTGCTGTGCAGATGACAAGCTTGGTGAGCAAAGAAAGGCCCTGGTCTGAGGAGGTCCAGTATCAATCCTGTTCCTATGGGTGGGGTTGCGGAGCTAATGTGAGTTACCTCCTTAATTTGGCAAACTGCCCTGTTAGGAAATGAGTTGGACTTGAGTGAATAAGATTGAGAGTGACTCCCTCTTTCTGTGCATACTCAGCTCTGCCCTGTTCCCAAAGGTTCTGAGCAGTTGCCTTCTGTGGAGCTTTTTCTTGGTCTTAGTTGTCTCTCTACCTCTAAGCTCTGTAGCACTTGACTGTCTGATCCCCCAGCTGAGGGCATTTTTATTGCATTTTTCTGGAAGTGCCTCTCTAAGATCTCCATATGTGGGAGTAGCGTGGGTGTCTCACCCTCTCATGGTGTGAATTGTGGTGAAAAAGGCAGAGCACATCCACAATCTGGAATTGAAAGATTGCTAAGATTGGATCAAGTTATGTGGCTTAGGAATGTTTTCATTTCCTTGAGTCCTTTTTTCCTTTTATTATAACAAATAAGAAGTAGATGTGGCTGAGACGGTAAAGAATCTGCCTGCACTGTGGAAGACTCAGGTTCAGTCCCTGCATTGGGAAGATCCCCTGGCGAAGGGAATGGTAACCCACTCCAGTATTCTTGTCTGGAGAATTCCATGGACAGAGGAGCCTAGCGGGCTACAGTCCATGGGGTCACAAAGAATGAGACGTGCCTGAGTGAATAACACACAAGAGGTAGACTTGTTAAAACTGAGAGGAAGGACAGAAGGAAAAGGGGATAGGGAACTTGTACCAGAGGTTCAAGGTCATGAGCCAGGCAGAGTAGGACCTGGGATCAACCCTGATTATGGGCACCCCTTTCTTGAAGGACAGTGTTCATTATTTCAGGATGAGGATTCTGGTTGAATAAGTTGTGTGTGTGCACTTTTGAGGCCATGCAGCAGACAGAGGATTCCTTTCCTCGTTTAGAAACTAAGTAGAGGCAGTAAGTCAGTTAAGATTTGGTTTACCTTTGGTTTGGACTTAAGATTGGAACTCCTGGGTCTACACTGTGCTCTCAGGATGGTCTTGAGGGAAAGAAATCAATTCATTTAGCCAAGCAACACTTAAGCACTTGCTGTCTATCAGTGAGCATGGTGGTAGGCAGCACCCAAGTGATGAGCATGTGAGGCACGCACCAGATGAGCGGGCCCGGATGAGAGTGCTTCCAGAGAGGCAGGATTTGAGCCCTGACAGAGTGGGGAGAAAGCTGGACGAGAGTGCAGGGTGGAAGAAGGGGAAGCCAGTGTGGCTGCCATGTCAAGTGAGATGGAGGCTGGATAGTGTGGAGTCTTGAGTTCTAAGTGTGACAGAAAGCATCCAGCATTTGCTTGGAATGATCCTGGGGCTATAAAGATCCCAGAGTTTCTTGGGAAATGAGTTTGCTCTGATCTGGGTGCTCTTTGCCCAGGGGATGGACATGTGTCTGGGTCACCAGGCCATTTGGCTGGGGAAATTACTGTACAGTTTAACTGAAGTGCGACTGTTCGTACCAGCTTCTGCAGATTGAGCGTAGAAGCGTTTGTAACTGCCCTTCCCTCAGACACTGAGCTGTTCAGTAGAGAAGAGGGAGGCCTGTACTGCCCCTGGCTGGGCATGCCCTTTCCTGTTTGATTCCCTCAGGCATTTCCACCATGTTCCCCATGGTCCTGGGAAATAATCTTGAACCTGGAAGATTACAAAATAAGTGACCTCATTTCCCCAATGGGAAGGGAATGGCTTTTTTTTTTTTTAATGATGGTGTGGACAAGTAACGGGGACTGATAAGAGTTAACCCTCCCCAAACTACCCCGCCCCAGAATTAACCCCCAAATAAGCCCCTCCTCCCTCCAAAAAACACCCAGCTTCCTACAAATTAAAAAGAATATAAACATGTGATTCACAGAGGAAACAGATGGTCAATACATAAAAGGATGTTGTTTACTCTCATTTAAAGAAAAAAAAAGGAAGGTAAGTTAAAACCTAACACAGTATCTTTTTTAACCTATGAAATTGGCAAATATTGGTGTTTTTTTCTTTGGTATTTATCTTTATGTATTTATTTATTTGGCTCTGCCAAGTCTTAGTTGTAACAGGCAGGATCTCTGATCTTTAGCTGCAGCATGCAGACTCCTAGTTGTGGCACGTGGGAGGGACCTAGTTCCCTGACCCGGGATTGAACCAGGGCCCCTGCACTGGGAGCATGGAGTCTTAGCCACTGGACTAGCAGGGAAGTCCCACATTGGTTTTTGAAGATAAAGTTCAGTGGGGGACGTTGGTGGCGTTGGTGGGGCATGAGGTTTGGGCTTTCCTGGCACGTCCTTGGTCTTTGTGCAACCTATAAAAGGTTGCTGTCAGTGCCCGAGGGACTGCTGACCATTGCAGGGACCCAGTGCTGTCAGGACCCAGTCCCCCAGCCTCCTGTGGTTTGTCTTGCTAGGTTCTAGTTGCCACTTGTAACCACAAGTGTGTGGCCTGGAGCTCCATGGGCCCAGTGCTCCCAATGTGAATAGGAGGTCTTTGGGTTGTATATGGTTTAAATTAGTTGATGAGTGACCACAGTAAGTGACAGCTATCACTAATATTTTAAAAATAACCATGGAGCCAATAAAATGTCAAAACATTTACTTCACTCTTAATGTAAAATACCTAAAGAATTTCATTTAGCATCCTTCATATAGTGTCCCAGGAAACATGCTTCTTCTAATGCATCTTTTTTCCTTTAAATGGTTTTGGTGTTCTACATTTCTAATATCTTCTGAGAAAAACTATTCTGAATTACTTTTGCTTGGTTGAAAATACTTATTATCTTTGCCATCAAAGGTGGAGGGTCTGTGTAAGTTCTAGCCACTCACTGACCCATGCAGGCATTTTATGTCCAACTGGTGTTGAAGTCCTGTCAGGCTTCCTTTCCAAAGAAACTGTTTGCAAAGATAGTTACATTTTACCCTGACCCTAGGGTACCCAGTCCCAGACAGGCTAAATAAGCTGCAGTTTTCCTTTCAGATTGTTACACTGTTGTGCCAGACAAATGGCTACTTTACACTTATATTTTGAGTTTTTTTTTTTAAGCACTAGGTAACACTTATAATATCTTT